GAAAGCTTAAAAGAGATAGTTACATGATTTTATTGTTTAATATTAGTTTATTCAGAACAAAAATTTTAATTTACATACACAGTTTTACCCTGCGATTAAGTAAGTACGATGATTAAAAATAACATAACTTTTAAAATTCTATATTAAACAGTGATTATTCTAAATAATTGTCTTTTGACATACCTATAAATCTTCAGCATCACTCTCAAAATTTGTGTCACTAGGTCGCTGTCATCATTAAGGGATATAATTATAGGGTTAATTTCGTTTATCCTGTTTTCACGTGGCCACCAGTCGTCAATTAATTTATCACATTTTTGAACACTTTTCTGCCAACTTTCTGGGGTTGATGTATCCAGTGCTTGTTTCCATATTTCCCTTACTGCTTCGTCGCTGTAACCATCAATTTCAATATGATTTTCATAATACGTTTTACATATACCACAAATGTGTTCATGCTGTTTGGCTAAAGTTAACAACTCAAATTTAAGGGCGTATTGTGGAAAGCCAACATTTTTGTTACATAGCCATTCTTGTATTTTGGCTACAGTCCAATTCTGTCTTGGCGGTTTGTTTAAAAGTTCTGTGTGATAGCTCGCATTATCTAACACTATAACAGACAGTTCACTTAAATTTGGTAATAGTTTTTCATTTAACCATTTGATAAACATATCCGAGTTCATCTTATCGTAGTAGTCTTCTGATTTTGATTTAGAGAAAAATATTAATCCTGCACCATCCACAAATCCATTCTTTCCACCTGCGTGTAAGATTATGTGTCACTTTCCCTCACCATTAGTATGTTTTATTGATTTTATATTTTCATATTGCCATATTCTTTTCGTCCCACCTTTGGAAAATATCCAGGTTTCATCCAAATATACAAACGAAGCTCCATTCTCTCTTAAACGAATGTATTCTCTTAAAAAATGTATTCTTTCGTGAACAACATTATTTTTTCACATAAAGCTTTTCTATTATCTTCTTTCTTAAATTTGAAACCTATTTCCTTAAGCATCTTCCAAAGACTTTTTCTGCCAAATTCACCAATTTGTATTTCTCTTAAGTTAGAGCAATGTGTCTAAGTTGACATGTTTCTTTTTCGCACGCATTTCATACACCATATCACGAATACGAAATTTTGTCCCACCAGATATATCCGACGTTTTCAGTTTTTTGCGAGGTGTGTATTTTTTCTTTTTTTTGCTCTCTCCGCTTTTGACGTTTTTCAAAACATATTTTAATTTTGAATCACTAATACCGAGAGCTGTACAAACGCGTTCATGCACACTCACTACTGGCTTTAAAGATCCTCCGTTATCTTTTTCCGCCGTAAAATACTTATTAGATTACAAATTAAATCATTTACACGTAACACGCGCTTCGGCATTTTCAGTTTCGACATACGTTCTCTTCGAAATCCAAAATTGAATTAAATAATTTAGCGCAATTAGTCCTATAACATCAGTACAAAAATAGAACATTTATTCTTAATTTTATACCTGAGAAGGGGACTTCCGGAAATTCCTGACCATAAAGCGTTTATTGTATTCGGGGAAAATGGTATTATCATAAACAATGTCCAAAACAAAATTATAAATATTTTATGTATTACTTCAGTAATTTAATGTTAATAAACATAATTACATACTATATAATAAGTATTTAATAATTAAAATATATTCACCCTCTACCCACCGGAGGACTACGCTTATTTTGCTCAACTACCTGATGCGAAATTATCCTGTAAACCGGCTCAGTCGCGCATGTAAATGCAGTGAATGACCTATAGGCCATCATATAGTGACAGGTTTTAGTACCCCATTTCCGCATACAAGCAAGCCCCTAAGATGGTTGACAAGTACATCGATTTTGAGTAAAATGAAAGGAAATTTAAGAGTGGCTAATGAGAATAACATTTAAAATTCGATTATCCTTGACAGAAATTAGAAGATATTTGTTGACCATATTTTCACGAAAGCTATGTTCACTAAATCATTAACTAATAGAACTAGGCAACGAAAAATCAAAGGCTTTAATGTTGCAAATGGCTAAAGAATTAAAATAAGGGCATAATCTTGTAAGTAAAAATCAAGATTTTAACCAATTTTTCTACACATAACCAATCGAATGTATTAAAACGTACGTCGTCACTAGTCCGATAAACATATTTGCTCACATGACCCGAATGGATATGTGCCTTTTGGGGTTGGAAAATATTTAGTGTTAAGGAAAATTGAATTTCCAAGAGACACTAATATATTTCCTTTGATTCTAGTCAACATCGATGTACTACTTTTCAACCCTCTTCGAAGCTTGTATGAGAGAATGGAGCACCTAGATCAGTCACTATCTGACGGTCTAATAAAGAAAGTATTAAACAGTGATTTCAAAGCCATTGGTTGCAGAAAGTTAAAATAAAAAAATGGTTAGGTTAAAATGAAATTAACTGCATCGCTATAATAATTTATTATAAACGAAATGAGTAAATAATTTAATTAAAAAAGTTATATGTATAGAAGAATTATATATAAATTATATCAAAAGAAAAAAGTATATGCCAAAAAGATGTTTTAAATAAATATATTCGTTCCTGTATATTATCTGTATAAGAACAAATTAAAAGATCTTGATTTTACTTACACTGACTGATAAAATATATGCATTGTAGAATAATACCTACCAGGTATTGTACACAAGTTCTACAGGTCTGCATTAAACCTTCATAGAAGTAACAAAGAAACTGTGGTATATAAAATATAGGTCATATAAAAACGTTTTGCAGGGCACTTCACCTACATAAGTGCGTCCAGAACTGTATTTTATATAACCTTTTATTTTGGGTTTATATTTAATACAATCCAGTCTTTAATTAAAAATTAGTCTAGCCCTTACGACTTATTAGGCCATCATCAGGACTCTACAATAGAAAATTAGGTATCAAGACAAAAGGTTATCATGTGTCCGAAATATTGTGTTTGACCCGACGAGGATGTTTATATCCTTTGCTTTTATATTTTCTATTAATTTTTGTTTTAATTTCGACATTGGCTGGGATGCTGATTATTACATGGGCTTCGCCTTTTATGTTTAAAAACGCTCTTTGTGGATCCACTTAAATTCTATGCTGTAAAATACGAATAAGTCATTTAAAAAAAACCTTTTATTTCTTGATACCTTGTAGAGTCCTGATTAATTAAAGACGGGATTGTATTAAGATAATCCCAGTTCACACACTTAAAATACCAACTAATTTCATTTCTGAATAACCCAGTGTGAACACACCTATCATCTTTCTGAAGCTTTTATTTTTTACTTAGGTGGGTAGTTGACAAAATTCCTAGCAACATAGTGACGTTTCAGTTTTACAAAGGAGTATGTAAAAACTTTTTTCCAAAACTTATAAAACAGAGGTTTTATCCAAAATTAGATGACTTGGTAAAGCCTGAAATATTTCTAAGAGAGCCCACATATCATAGAATTCGTGATAAATTTGATATACAAATCGTCCCTCAGAAAAAACTATTTATAATATAGTACAAAAATTCCAAAATACAGGATCTGTGCAAGATATAATTCCAGAATGTGAACGTCTAGGTCATTCGGTTGATAATCTGTTTCGTCAAAGTGTGTCTGATAATCCCCAAATGTCATAAAAAAAATGTATAACTCTCAAAGCTAAAAAGTATAATAAAATGACAAACCCTTCTTCCCTGACTAAATATTTAATAAATAATTTATTTTTTTTTATAAATAATAATCTTAAAATAATTAATCTATTGTTTACTATTTCTCAGAAAATAACATTATGTCTCATTATTAAGAGTTTAAAACTTGATAGTAATTATAATTATAGAGATGTTGATTGAATCTATTATATTTATTGATCGTTAAATAAAATATATTATTAACATTCAATAATTAATCTTCTTCATACCTACATAAATATAGAATTTATAATTATCTGCCTGTAGTACCATCATACCATCTTCGTCATCTAAACATTTTATCCCAAGGTAAAACACTTTCAGAGATTTATTTTATCGATTTGAAATTAGTGCTTGCAGATACTTGGAAAATGTAATCCAAAAAGTCAAATTATGTGAACAATAATTTAGTATAGTAATTGTATATCCATTTTTTCATTTGTTTTTTTTTTTATTTCCTTCTTATCCCTACTCTTTCTTAGGACAAAAATTATTAGCTGACTGAAAAAATTAGAAATAAGTTTAATATCGGAAAAACCAACAAAAATAATTAGTAAATAATTATTATAGTAATGTGAAACGATTCATATGTCTTATTATATTCTTCGTTGATTTTTTTATCAACCATTTCCTCATGCATTCATAAACTGAAATATTCTCTAATAAGATAATCGACATAGTTAGATATATAGCTATTGTCATGATCCCCTTATTGGACTGTTGAGTGTAGGTTAGGGTGTTTCATTTTTCCAAAGATGTTATTTTCATACGACTTTTCTTACACCCTGAGTCTAAGTGGTAAAAAATCTAGTATATGCCAAATTTCAAGAAGATTGGATAATATTAATATTTAGAGGTTGCACACATTGATCACTTTTATCACAAACTGGTGAAATTTCTAATATTGACTTGTTTTCTACTAGTGATCTTTGATTTTTACATGTATTTCTTTCATCTTTTGCAGGCAACTGAGCTTTAAAATGGGAACCAAAAGAGGAATTTGGTTGCTAGAAAAGATGTTTAGTGGTGAGTTTTAAGGAGTTCCGCTCCCTTCAAAGAAACAAGTACTATTAGTTTTTATTTACCATCATAAGGATATGAAAGAAACACTTTCGAAAGCTGCTACTTCTACCAGTAGTAAACTACACTGTTAAGACAGAGCAGAATATACGCGCTGGTATACAGAAGCTATACAAAGAATTCCAAAGTCTAGGAAAAGAGAAATCTAGAAACACCAATAAAGCTAACATGAAACGGCATATTTAGGAAGGTGATCTTGTGATTTCCAGCAAAATGTGGAATTGGAAGAAGATAAAGCATTTCTTAGATCACAAGGTTTTCGTCTCCAAAATAAGAACTAAATGTACAAAAGAAGATAAAAATGATTCATATAAGAATAAACATTACAGAGCTATAGCTCACATGAATAAGACAGTAATTCTGGAAGACTCATCTTCATCATCATCTGCACCTAGTGACGAAGAGGACGAATTTTTGCCACCAGCAAAGAAAAAATTACGTTCAAATCCTAGATTAAAACCTTTGGATCAAACACTCACGTCTACTTGGGATCGAGAGCAACTCTCTATTAGGCAAGCAAGTACCTCTTTTATAGCATTATAGCATTGCAAAGAGTCTTGGCCACGATGTTTAAAAAATTTTCGTATCTCCATCCATCGTTTACCAAGCTCGGGTGGCCAATAGAAGAAAAATGGCAAGGAAAATCGAGGAGATGCTTTTTGAAAATCCTTCTTGCATTGAGATAGTAAATTGTTGTCTTCAGTTGCCCATGGGAATGTCAAAACTTTGGAAGATAGAGTTGCAGTTCTAGTGACTGGCAAAGATTTTAAGCATTTGCTTGGAGTACCTGTTGCCCAGAAAGGCACCGGTGAGCAGATGGCTGAAGTAGTTATTCGGGAAGTACACCGATTTGGGCTAAGTGACAATATCATCGGTATGTCTTTTGATACTACATGGTCTAATACAGGACTGATCCAAGGGGCATGTACCAGAATTGAAAGAGAATTAGGACGAACATTGTTGTGGTTGGCTTGCTGTCATCACATTCATGAACTAATATTAAAAGGAGTGTTTGAGGAGTGTTGTAACATACCATCAAGTGGTCCTGACATCCAAAGTTCCAAAATATGTGGGCTTCACTCGATAAAAAATCATATACGACAATGCTGAATGAGGAACGTCCCGTTCAAGGCTTTATAAAAGAACAGCGAGTGAAAATGATTAACTACTTACAAAATGTCCTAAAAGACGGAAGTCATCCAAGAGAAGACTACAAAGAGTTATTACAACTATCACTTTTGTACCTAGGAGGTTGATCTCAAGACGAATTCAGTTTCAGGATCCCAGGAGCTCTGCATCAAGCAAAGTGGATGGCAAAAGCGATTTATACACTTAAAATTGTTCTCTTGACTAAACAAATTTTGCACTGAGTATCAAAAAGTGCGCACCAGTTTCACCAGTCGAAACCGTTATAAAAATTATTATGGATTGTCAGATGGACATTTTTTAGAAATGTCAGTAGAAATTTAATTTTTAGAAAGATCTTATAGTTGGAGAAGTTAAAACAACGTTGATAATTGAAATAGAAAGGTAAATAAAGTTTTAATATAATTGAAAGGAAAAGATTGAGTTATAGCAGGAAGGAAATATAAGCAGAGATGAGTTAGTAAGAGTAGCAAGTAGGAGAACAAAAGGTATAAAGATAGTAGTTACAACAACTAGACAGGGATTCTTATGTGCGAACGCAACACGTTACGTGTTGAATAGAGAGATATATAACATAAGAATCGCATTCTGTCGAACGAAGATAGAGGCTTCTCAACACGTGCCGTATTGAAAGATGAGAATCCCACTGCATGAAGGAACAGGAGATAGAGAAATTGGTGTAGGTGTAGAAGAGTTATAGAAGAAGTAAGAGGACCGGTATATTTTTTTTTGTTATTTAAAGTCAACATTTTTATATTTCGATATTAACATTTTTGGAAATTATTGTAGGAAACCATTTAAGCCATAACCCTAAGTGCTCGTAGAGTATTGTAATAGGTCTGCCATTTACAGGGTGGAACCATTACCAATTGGCGACCAACGTGTGGAGCGAAGTTTTGGCGGCAGTGGAGTGACGAAAATAGGACAGCAGCAAGGATTGGTAAGAGCATTTTTCTGTTATTTGTGATACTGATCCTTGTGTGTTTATTGTGTAAGAGAGGTAATTTGAGAAAGTAGGGGATATGTGTTTAGGTAGTAGTTAAAAATAAAATAAATATAAGAAATTAAGAAGTGATAGAAAATGGAACAAGGAAAAGATATAAAGATTAAAATTGAGAAAAAAGAAGAATGTAGAAAAACATATTTATAATATTAAAAAAATAAATAGGAATAAAGTTAATAAAAGAAAAAGAGATAAATTTAAAATAGGAGTAATTATAGAGGAACGAGTGAATAAAACAGTATTATAATGCAAAAGAAGAAATAAGTATAAAAATAAATAGTAGAAGAAAAAGAAAAATTGAAGAATGTAAAGAAAAATTGACAAAGAAAATTAAAGAAATTACAAAACTAAGTAAAGAGAAAAATAGAAAACAGGATAAAGAACATAAAACTTACAAGTTCGAGAAGAAAAAAGTAATGTTATTGCGAAAAATTAAATAAAGAAACAGCCACAGGATGAAAGAGAAAATGGAAATGTATTAATTGAAAAAAAAATAAAATAAAAGTAAAACAGATACAAAAGGAATATAAAGCGAAAAGTCAAGTAGTAAATAAAAACAAAAACAAAGACGGGAGGGAAAGTAAAATTAGATTAGGTGAATTAGGTTAATTTTGTAAATTATGAAAAACCGAAGGTTGAAAATTCCGAATTCCAATTGGAAAAAAGAGAAATCCAAGAATTTCTACATGAGGAAGAAAGGTAAACCAAAAAACAATTATTGGAGGTTATTAATATTAAAAAATAAAAGGAATAAGTTGTTGATAAATGTGCTCTCATAAACGTACACACCGTGCTTAGACTCCCTGAGTATTTTTGCATATTAAACGAAATAGAGTTAAAAGGAAATGTAAGAAGAAACAACGTGGCTCCAAAATTTTCTTCGGCTGCTCTCCAATTAATTAAAGAAGAAGTAACATAAATTACAGCAACAAGTTGGAAAAATGCCATTCAATAATATGTAATTGGGACGGAAAACGATTACGTTAAATATTTTATCTACAACCACCCCAGTAAATCGCCTATTATGTACCGTTTTGTTTATAAGTAAATACATCATTACAGATACTGTTACGTAATGAAATTCAAAACTATTACGTAATATATATATATATTACATAACAGTTTCATTTATCAAACTACCCATATTAGTCCGTTGCTAGGTGATCGCCATGGTTACGATTAATAAGTTTTGACATTTCAGAAATATAAAATCGCCATTTTTGTAGTTACAGCATTATTTTTTTAAATGAATATGATTTCGTCAGATAGCGAAAATGAATTTCAAGAAACTCCACCTGAAATTCTTGAAAAAGCTGCCAATACCACTGAAAAATTACTGCCAACAAAATCAAGAACAAGGTATGAAATAGTATACCAAAAGTTTATGGACTGGCGTATAAAAAACAAGATTAATTCATTTTCTGAAAATGTGCTTTTGGCATATTTTGGGGACCTAATGGAACAATTTAAACCTTCATCAATATGGGCAATATATTCCATGTTAAGGACCGTCATTTCCATAAAAAACAACGTGAATATTGAAACATACCCAAAATTAAAGCCATTCCTAAAAAGGCAATCGGAAGGTTTTAAAAGCAAAAAATCAAAAATTTTTTCTTCTGATGAAATAAGTAAATTTTTAAATGAAGCTCCTGATTCACAATACTTATTAGCAAAGGTTTGTATCTAAAGCAATTTTCCTTCAGTTAATTTAGTATTGGCTAGTGATTTTACTTTTCAATATTTTATTTAAGGTGATTCTAATTATTGGAGTTTGTGGCGCATGTAGGAAACAAGAATTAAAAAATTTACAAATCAAGGATATAAGAGATGTCGGTGACATACTGATTATTAAAATACCTGATTCAAAAACTAAGATAAGCAGGTCTTTTGTGATTAACGGAACCTTTTATCAAATATGCAAACAATATATGCAACATCGCCAGCAAGTGCAAAATCTTGATACAAATCAATTTTTCACAAACTATCAAAAAGGAAAATGCACCAAACAAGTGGTCGGTATAAATAAAATTGGAAATGTACCCAAACAAATAGCACAATATTTAAACTTGCCCAATCCCAAATTATACACTGGCCATTGTTTAAGAAGAACTTCTGCCACAATTTTAATTGATGCAGGTGGTGATTTATTCGCATTAAAAAGGCATGGAGGCTGGAAATCCTCAACGACTGCTGAAGGATATGTTGATAATTCATTAAATAATAAAACTTTAACGGCTCATAAAATTATCCAGTCAATTGAAAAAACAGATTTTCCACCTAGCACATCAGAAATAAATGAGAATATTTCTACTTATAATATCCTTCAAACCATAAATAACAGCAATCAAATAGAGTCTAATTCCTCTGCACCATCTACATCATCTCTTTCAGTGCCATCTACTTCTTATAAAATACCTCAAAATACTAACGAACCCATAATTATTCAAAATTGCCAAAATTTTACCGTTAATTATTATTCTAAGAATCAATGATATGTTAATGAATTATTGTATTTAATAAATGTTATAGATTATGAAAGCTTTTTTATTATGAATGTATGAATGTGGTTGTAGATAAAGTATAGTACATAACTCGAGTTGTAAGAGCAATTACATGCTCGTAGAATTACTACACTCGCCGCTAACGCGGCTCGTGTGCAACTTTTCTACTCGCATGTAATTAGCTTCTTACTACTCTTGTTATGTAATATACTATTCCAACATTAAATAAATTAGTTATAAATTTAGAAAATACGATGAGAGTGATATAACGACTGATAGCGACTGTGAAGTTTAAAAGTAATGTGTAATTATAATAATAATAGTAATATTGTTTTTGACACATTAGATAAAATAAATACCTATTAAAAAATCTAACACATAACAAAAGTCAAGCAAAAATACTGCTTTTCAGATTAATACTTATAAAAACACCTGATTTTTACCAATAAATACCAAAATTAACCTAACAAAAATAAAAATATTATAAAGATACGACTTCAGATAAGTAGGTAAATAAACCCTCTTAAAATGACTGTGGCTGAATCTCACCGAAATACATTTCTACTTTACCAACGTATAAAGATATTGATAGAGACAAAAATTAAAGCAATGAAAATAAAACAATTGTGACAAATGACGGATAAAACTAAACGAAACAGATTTACAGATGAATATATAGGAAACTAAACTAAAGAGGAACCAATAATAGGAAACTAAACTAAAGGGCAACTAATAATGACAAAGACCAAACAGAAATTTTAAACTGCTTCGATCATCTAAAAAGAATGAAACCAGTCACAATAGCGTGAAAATTAATGGAAATAGGAAAATAAAGAGAAAGGCAACGAGGAAGGAAACAGATTGACCAAATTTAAGAGATCAGAATTGATAAGAGGAAATTTTGAGGCATAAAAATGCTAGTAAGGAACAGGAAAGATTGGAAAAACAGGAACATAAAGGATTTCAATCCGACGCCTTAAAAGAACGAAAGAGAAAGTAATCAAATCCTTAAATGTTTTAAATATTAAACTGACTCTCTTCTTGTTTTATTATCTACTTCCATTAACTTTAAATCGTTACTGCTTCGTCGTGATTTTTGAAATATGTCTAGTTATTAAAACAATGCGATCGTACCAAAAATATGTTTGGCAATTCGAGCGAAAAATTCGTTATCGAAACTTTTTGTCCCAAGCAGCAAAATATGACTTTCCTCTCTTAATACACAAATAGCTAGGTATTATATTATTATCTTTCTTTATTTTCTAATTTATTTTCTTGATAACTATTGCTTATTTATAATTATTTCATTAACTCTTCAAGAAGTTACAGCCTTATTATTTTTTCTGTATTTGAGCCGCATGTCTTAGACATACCTACCTGTTAATCTTCAATAAATAGAGAAAATTGTTGTAATTACATATCAAACACTTTTCATTTTATTTCAATCGCACAATACC